TATGCTTGTCACGGGAGGTCACAATTGACGTTAGAGATTAAATGTCAACTTTGATGGATTGGATTGTTTTATATATATATATATATATATATAAACTTTTTGTCTCTCCACACTCACAATCACCAAATTTAGACAGAAGTAGGTGTGACGTCCTCATATTAAGTAAGGGGCCTCTTTCCATTTTTTTTTTTTTATTATTATTATTTTTATAATAGAGAGATGGAGCGCTAGGAAGAAGAAAGGAATCCGCATTGTTTTTGCTGAATACCCACGAGCCAATAGTTTCAAAAAAAGAAAAGAAAAAGGCCACGGCCTTTTTGCCACGAGAGAGACAGAGAGAGATTTGGGGAGGAGAATGGACCCCACAATAGTTTTGTGATCAAATAAAACGAATATTTCATTTTAAAATAATATGAATGGGGGGAAACAATTATACATAAACGATGTGATGATACCTCCAATGCGGGTATAATGAAATTTAAAGAATGACGGGTATGAGATGTGAGTTAAGAAGAGAGTGAACACTCAGGGGGAAGGCCCTGAGGAAAACGTTTGGTATCAGTGCAATAATTATAGACCATATAATTCTTTTGAACCCATTTCAACTTCTCTTGCCCATTTGTGTCCAAGGCTTCTTGGCTCAACCAGGCTGAACCAGAGGCCTCTTTGCATGGAGATGAAGAAGATGCTGATGATTTAGAAGCAACACAAGCATCAGCTTCAAAGTTAGAGTAAGAAGCCACAAAAGGAGCTTGAGACCAATCAGTCTTAATTAAACCACCCCTTGTGGCCCAATCATCAGCATTCCACAGACTCGAATATAGCTTCATGGGTTGGTTCTTTGGAAAGGGAACTCCTAAATGCTCTGCGTTTTTGAACACTCTTATGGGCGTACCATCCACTGAAAACCTGTTCGAATCGGAATTTATATTTAGAATCCAACTTCTTATATATATATATAGAGAGAGAGAGATGAATGTGAGTGTGTAGAGAGAGAAAGAGTTCTTACTTGATGTGGTTTGGGTTCCACAAGATGGAGTAGGTGTGGAAGTCTTTGGTTGGATCGAACCATAAGTGGAACTGTTGCTCCCTGTTTCCCCTCCCTTGAGAGAACACATTGGTGTGGAGGGTATAAGGGTCTCCACTCAAATTCCCCAGGAATTCGAAGTCGATTTCGTCATGGGTCTGGCCTTGTGAAGATAACTGCAAAAACCCAACATCAAAATCCATCATCTCACTGCTATTGATTCTCTCTGTAAAGTCTGAACTAACTGAAACAATTAGTGCATGATTGAGAGAGAGAGAGAGAGAGAGAGAGAGAGAGGAGGACTTACATAGTAGGCAGTAACAGTGCCTGCAGAATTGCCTGGTACGAGCTTCAAGCGCATATGAATGTTCCCAAAGAGGTATTCATTCTTGGATTGAAAACCAGAGCCAGAATACTTATCTAGTGAGAGGTGAAGCTGCTCACCATTGTTCAATACCCTATCGTTTCCCCAAGTTATATCAAAATCTGAGTAGAAATTGGCCATAGAGGCCACAGCCAAAAGACCCCAAATAAGCAGTGTCAAAGCCCAACAAGAAGACAGAGAAGAAGCCATTGGAAGAAGAGGGGAAATGGCGTTTAAGGGGAGAGAGAAAGTGAGTGATGATGGATAATGGTGGAGTGTGGAGAGATTTATAGTGAGGAACTAAAGTTAAGAGAAGTATCTGGGAAAGTGATTAGGAGCGCGGTGATCACAGCTGGGCTTTGGATCTTGTTGCCACAAAGTTTAGAGACAAAAAAAAAATGTTAGAGAGAGAAAGAGAGAGAGGGATAAAGCTTTTAATTTCCGCGGCTCGCAAGTAGGAGACAGCTGTAGTGTGAAGCTTCCAGCCAATAGAGCCTTCCGAGAGGCGCCCCGCCGTCCATTCCACCACCCTTTGTTTAGTTTAGACGATTCTGTTTTTTTTTTTGAAAAAGTAACTTTAAAATTTGAAGGTACACCTGACCTCTACAGCCACGAATGCATCTGTATCACTGCACCCTTCTTTTTTATGGGTCAAAATGTATTATAAAAAACTTTGAGAGCGGCTTTGTGGTGTCTGCACATGTCAGAGGCCCCAGCCAACCCTTCTCCAAAAATCTCATGCTAACCCTCACCATAAATTAGAGGAAATTTACATCTCAACTCCAAACAATAGACAGCTCTAAAAGAAGGACCTCGTTTTTATGCGTCCAATCCCAGCATATGTAGAAATGTGAGCCTCTTAATATATCTATTTATAAATATAATAAATAAATAAATTTTAAAAATTGAAAATAATAATTTTAATAAAGAAAAATTTAGGCTGTTAATTTTTATTGTTTTTAGATGGAACACCTCCTTCTATCAATTTTTAATATTGTTGCTTTACACTTTTTGGACCGCATGTGTTGAAATACGTTCCAGCCCGCATGAAACAATTTTATGTAAAAGAAACCTCGGCCTTTTAATCAAAAACAATTGTTTCATGCTTGTTGGACCGCATTTCTACAATATGCGGTCCTGAGATATAAAACATCCATCTTAAAGATGGTTGCAATTAGGTGATCAATTTCAAAACAATTGTAACTAATGATTCAAATATTTTTTTAACATGATTACTGTTTCTAGTTTTCAAATTTTATTTATTTTTTCATATTCATGATCTTCATGTTAAAGATTATATATTCTATATAAATTAAAATTAAATTATATTTAAAAAGTATATCTATTGCGAAGCCCGTATTTCTACAATATGCGGGCTGGTCGCATGCTAACTGTAACCTATAGCAAATTAGTAGTCACAAATATGCCCCAACCTTTTCTTTTTTCTCAACAGCCCCCTTATTTATATATATATATATATGGCTCCGCGGCTAGTCATGATGCATATGTTTTGAGTTATACCCAAAATTAAACTTGGAATATATTTCTAGGACTCCTTTTATTTTGTTGGGTGATTATCTCCGATAATTCCCCCTTATCCAACCGTTCATTCTGAATGGAGGCCTAAGATTGTCCCAATCACAATGTCATGTCTCTACACTATTTTATTTTTAATTTTTTTTTCTATAATCTATTTTGACACTAAATTTTGGACATCCATTTCTCTATTAAACTCACACTAGTAAAAAATATAAAAAATATAAAAAAAAAATATTTTCAAAAAAATAAAATGACCAAAATACCCCTGATAGTTTCAAGGGGTATTTTGGTCATTATATTTTATCTAAAAATTATTTTTTATAGGTGAGCCCCAATGAAAATATGGCACGCACCAAATTTCATATTCATACAATTTGTATAAAACAACTAACAATAAAATACTTTGACACGTCGGATCTAAGATCAAACGGTGAGTGGCTCTCTTGATCAAAATTAGATGACTGGATGGTAGGCGGAGGATATGCTGTAGGAGAAGCATAGAAACATTTCCCTTAAAAAAATTTAAGTCATCAAAAGTACTACAGTATAATATTATTTTAAATATCGCTTCTTATAATAATAATATCACTTTACAAATATAATTGAAAAATGTCAATTTTTTAGGTTTTAAAAATGAATGTGGTTTGCATAAGGTTGAAACCTTAAAACATCAAAGAAAT